AAAGATATTTTGTGTGCATAGTTTCTTTGTTTCCAGGGTCCTTCAGTTCTCCTATGTATACTTTTTCTTCATTATCTGCTGATTTTACCGTGGCTTGTTATATTACGTTGTTTTATAAGCAATTACCGTTTAAGGAACATTCATTCTTTATTCTTCAGTTACAAATGGGTTTAATTTGTTCGGGTGGTTTTTTGATAGTTTTCCTGTTGTGCTTTTTTATTATTTGTGTCATGTTCCCGGTGCAACTGTAGATGATTTTTACAGTGGTTTTATTGGAATATTTTGTGTAGAATGCTTGATTTCGGGAAGTGTTTATTTAAGAGTTTGAAGAATATTTTACCTACGTTTGTTTTTTACGTTTCTGCTATACGGTGGGTTGAACCATATGATATTTCTCTTCCTGTTGGCCTTCCGGGAATCTACTATTTTTTTAGGGCTGAACTAGGTAGAATTGGTAAAACCCATATGCTCACCACAGAGCACAAGAAAGTCCAACAGGAAGAGAAATATCATATGGTACACCTGATTTTGGTTTCAGATCAATATGCGTGCCCACAGACAATTCTTGCGCAATTCGTACATCTTATTTGAATTAGACAGAGTATGCTACGTAGGCTCACCTATCGTCCGGCCCACACTCATTGCAAGTTTATTGAACAGGGGTAGAGGACCATCTCTTATTTCCTCTTCAAGATAATGGTTCTTTCTTCTTTCGTTGCCCCAATGATTTAACTGTGTTAAGTTTTTGGTAATCACACCAGTCAGTGGCTTCGACATTCCAGTTTTGGCTTCAATCAGTTTCCTTCGCCAGTAAGGTGGCCTCTCTTTGACTTTTCTCGAAATACTTTCATGCTGATTGTTCGGATAAGCTCATCACTATATTGCCTAAAATCTTTGAAGTTAAGTTTTGTATTAGACTGGTGACGAGGTCCCACCAATTTACCGTTGAGTTGGTTAGATCTAGCTGTAATTTTTCTGCTAACAGTTTTTTTTCTCGCAGTTCTCGCTTCTCCCGGCTCCATGCTTTCGAGCCAAGTGAAATCTGCAAAAATTTAAATGCAATGTCAAACGCTATCTGCTGTCCTTTTGATTAATCTTCTTTTGTTCTCGCTCTTTATCAATGTTTCTGTTTTTAACTCTTTCACGTCGAGTAACCCGTTGTGTCTCAGTGGCTTTATTCTCTTGCATGGGGTGAACTTTTTTAATCATCATCTTATACAGTTTGGCGTAAAATTATCTTTAGAGTTCAATCCATTTCATTTAAATTTTCATTCAGTTTCATTTATTGAAACATTTATTTATTTAAATTTATTTTATTTATTTTATTTTATTTTATTTTCTGCTACAAAGATAACATTCTTTCACATATAAAAATTATATTTCACTATTTGAAAAATGAATTTGAAACATTTTAAATAAATATGATTGAACTGGGTGGGTAATTTTACGCCTCCCTGCATATGGAGTGGATGGAAATACTTGTTAGTACATAATTACTCTTAACTTAAAATTTGACTGAGAATCGATTAATTTTCCGTTCAGGTACCGACTGGCAGTTTTATGAGAAAAATCTGTCACTTTAATTATTTTGTAATTTTATTGTCGCTGGTAATTTTAATCGAAATTGTTGTTCTTTTCCGCTTCTTATTTAATCCATTATCAACTTTTCAGTCTTTCTCAACATTTCTTTTAAGGAACTAAAGAAAGAAAAAAAAAGCATGGAAATAATATTTGTAATTCTGGTGCAAATTTCCACAATTTTTATATCGGCAATTATGCGTACAATTTTGACATCTGTTTTAAGTTTCTGTAACTTAAATCACTAGGGAAATAAATACTGACAAATGCCCAATGCGATCAACTTCGAAGATAATTAATGGAACTTAGTAAATTTTCCTAAAAATGTTTAGAAAAATAGCTATTTTTTAAAAATTCGCTATACTTTGTAGGATCTGGTTGCAAAACATTTTTTGTTCCAACTTAATATCTATCTATCTATCTATCTATCTATATATATATATATATATATATATATATATATATATATATATATATATATATAAAGGCTAAAACGCTGATATTCCATAGTTAATATTTAGTACATTGGAATCGTAATTACGATCCAATTGATCAGACCTAGAAATTAAAAAAATCAAAATTGAATTTGTAGATCTGATGAATTGGATCGTAATTAAGATTCCAAAGTAATAAATTATAACCATGGAATATTAGTGTTTGAGCCTTTTATATTAAATTCTTACTCTGTCCTGGACTTTGAGTTCTACCTGGATTCTATCCTCTGGGGAATATATATATATATATATATATATATATATATATATATATATATATATATATATATTAACCACTAATATTATATATATATATATATATATATATATATATATATATATATATATATATATATATATATATGAACTGGGAGTTGGGTTTATGGACCAGAACCTGATAAAATCATAGAATAAAGAATAAATAGGTAATGTTTATCAATTTAACCTGTTTCACTTTTTTGAAAGCTTCGTCATAGAATGAGATATGGAGAAAAAAGACGTTCTGGAACTTTTATTTTTGTGTCGTTTGATTTTTATTGGTCAATCATTGACTTGTTAAGCAGCGTTTATATAATCTATGGCGTTGTGAACTCAAGGATAGATAGCGGGTCCTTTTGAAGTTCCGAGCGACATTATATTTCATGGCTGTGTTATCGTCATTCAAAGGAATGAAAGCACGATGCTTAACATGTCAAATGCACGTGAATCCTGCTTAACCAGTGAAAACTCAAACAACATAAAATTAAAACATACTATAATTTTTCTCAATAACTAATTCTCTAATGAAGCTTTAATAAAAATTGATATCTGTTAGATTGATAAACGTTTCCCATTTGAACTTTATCGTGCCACACACACACACACACACACACACACACACACACACACACACACACATATATATATATATATATATATATATATATATATATATATTAATTTCTGTATTTATACCAGCAAGCAGAAATATTTCTCCTCCCGATGATGGCCATTTTGGATGAAACTAGTCGATGAAATAATAAATAATAATAATAATAATAATAATAATAATAATAATAATAATTTCACTAGGAATTTTCAGGCAAATATCATACATAATAATGTGGATCCAAAATGCAGGTTCTATTTCAAATACCAAGATAGACCATCTAATCTCAGGATGTTCTTTTGGAAATGAATATAAAAATCGTCACGATAGAGTGGGGCAATACTTACACTGACAATGGAAAATGTGTATCACTGGTATGAACATCGGCCAGCGCCGGTTACAAAATAGAAGATGTCAATTCTATGGGATTATACCATCCAATAAAAATTGAAGCAAATAGGCCGGACATTATTGTCAAAAACCAGAAAAAAAAAACTTGCCTACTAATTGATATCCAGCGGATTGTAACAAATTTGAAAAACTAAAAATAAAAGAAAATTGAAATATAAATTGAAAACAAGAATAATACCAGTGGTAATAAATGCAAATTATAAAAATGGAACAAAACAACACATTGAAAGAATCCTGTTGTCTTATTAAGTACAGCACACACACTAAGGAGAACTTTTAATTTTTTCATCGGAGATTTTTTTTAGGTCTTTCCGCAGACTTGTAGGTCATTTTTTAAGCAGAAATCGAATGAATGATGATGATAATAATAATATATATAAACGAAAGTATATTATACAACCTAGTGTGTCTGACGATTTTATATATATATATATATATATATATATATATATTTATATTCTTAGAATATTTATATTTCCACATAGATCGATGACATTCGACTTTATATGCAATCGTCTTGTACAAATAAAAACCTTCCCAGCACTGTTTTATTATTACTATCATCATTCATTCTACGCTATATATATATATATATATATATATATATATATATATATATATATATATATATATATATATATATATATATGTGTGTGTGTGCAAATATATTGATATAATAGGAAAGAACTGTTAGATTGATGATCCGAATTTCGTTAGTATTTTGTTTTTATTTTAAAAGAAAAAATAGTGCTCGATACATAAGCAGAGCCTAGGTTATAATTACTTTTTTTAAAAGAACATGATTTTATCGCGACAAAGAAATTACTTTGATTCGAAACTGTTTTTAAGTTTAATTCCAATATTAAACCTTAACCACTGGGTGTCAGTTTCATCCTCAACCATTGTTTTGAACGCTTGAGGATAAAACTGTCACCCAGTGGTTAAGTTTTGATATTGAAATTAAACTTAAATACAGCTGACCAGTTTCGAAAAATAGTAATTTCTGTGTCGCGATGGAATCATATTTTTAAAAAAAATTAAAATATATAAATATGTGTGTATGTGTTTGTTTGTGTGTTTTTGTGTTTCCTCGATCTTTATAAACAAATTACACTAACCTGAATATATTTAATTCAGTGCGGATTCACAGCCATCTAAGCTCTTTAATTTCGATGTGTGAGTTTTCAGTTGTTACTAAAAGCCATCCATTGTGGGAGTGTCTATGCCTTAAGAGGGACCAAATATATGGAGACTGGTAATTAATCTATAAGTGTAGCTTAACAAACGGACGAAGAGAAGAAAGACAACGCTTCCTTCTGAGATTGTTAGAAGTTGTCACAGCTGAATATACAGAAAGAAGTGTAATAACAACACGTAATTGTAATCATTGCTTTCTTTGAAAAAGAATATGTTTGTAGCAGAAGTGTGAATGGTAACGTGGTTAGTTGCATCGAATATAAAATCAGCGAAGTGAGTTCAAACATGGACTGAGGTAATGTGTGTTCAGTTTGGAAATTTGTTAATAGAAGTCAATTACGCAAACGACATTGGAATATTTCTTGATTGAAACATTCACCTACTCTACTTATGTAAAATGACATATATCGACCGTCGAAAGAATTGGCAAACTACTCCGGGAAAATCTTCGAATGCTCTCTTCCAACATGCCTTGTGTCAGCCTGGAAAAGCAGGCTCATAAAATTAACATGAGAATAATATCTCATGTAGATGCACAGTCTGCAATAAGCGGAGTAGGCGTTTGCACACACACACACACAAACACACACACACACACATATATATATATATATATATATATATATATATATATATATATATATATATATATATATATATATATATATATATATATATATATATATATATATATATATATATATATATATATATATATATATATATATATATATATATATACATACATATATATATATATATATATATATATATATATACATATATATATATATATATATACATATATATATATATATATATATATACATATATATATATATATATATATATATATATATATATATATATATAAGCATCAATATTTGAAAAGTTAAATGTGAAACCGGTTAAAGTAAAAACAATATTAATTCTAATATTAATTCTAATATTAATTCTAATATTAATTCTAATATTTCTCTGTAAAAATACACGTAATATAAATATTACATATAAATACATAAAAGTATAAGTTGATTTTTCCAAATAAAATTTTCACTCTGTCTCGGTCGGTCTATCTATCTATCTATCTATCTATCTATCTATCTATCTATCTATCTATCTATCTATCTATCTATCTCTTCTCTCTCTTTCTCTCTATCTGTATATATATACATACATATATATATATATATATATATATATATATATATATATATAATCTTCAAATGAATATATATAAATATAAAAATAAATATATAAAAAAATCTTCGAATCTTCTACAACCCAGTGTGTCTGAAGATTTTTAATTGTTTAATTTTTTTTTTCAATATATATATATATATATATATATATATATATATATATATATATATATATATAAATTAATAAATTAATAAGAAGTATCAATGCGATTATTGGCGACATCATCACTAGAAAACATAATATATGCATTAAAATCCTGTTCATCCATAGTGCGACTTTTGATCCTTGAAGAAAAAATTTGTAGTTTTTCAGTTTATTCGATGTTAAAATGCTAGTACTTACGGAGGGTCTACCATCCATCATCAGGCATGTGTTTATTTTTTTCTTATAAAATCAAAAACTTGAGACGATATATCTGTATGTCGACCGAATGATGATGGATGGTAGACCCTCCGTAAGTACTACTATTTTAACATCGAATAAACTGAAAAACTACAGACAACAAGTTTTTCTTCAAGGATCAAAAGTCGCACTATGGATGAACAGGATTTTAATGCATATATTATGTTTTCTAGTGACGGATGTCGCCAATAATCGCATTGATACTTCTTATTAATTCTATGTGTGATTAATTCTTATGTAAATATATATATGCCTAATATTTTATATATATATATATATATATATATATATATATATATATATATATATATATTGTGTGTGTGTATTTAGGCTGCAAATGTTTTTTTAAAGAAAATGCTATTAAAGACAATAGACGTTTGCTTCAATTATATTGATCGACTTTTCCAAATTACGAATAATCTTTGTCAGATAATCCATCTCAGATATCCTTTTCATTTAAGAAGGAAATTCCGTCAGAATTTGTCCAAAGTTCATTTTTGGTTCATTTTTTTCTTAAGTCATCATCCGAGTAGATAAAGACAAATGCTTAGTTTTGTAGAAGTGGTAAGAGTAGAGACGTGGGCAGAGAGTCCTTGACCTAGGCGAGGTGGGACGTGTCATATATATATATATATATATATATATATATATATATATATATATATATATATATTAAATAAAATTATGTTTTCCCCTGGAATCCTTTTAAAACATTCAGATTGAAATTTCTTTTTCACTTCTGTAATTATTTCTTCTTGTTTTTCTTTCTGTCAATCTTTGTAAAGGAAAAGGAAAATAGTTTCTTCACGTTTGGCCGTTACAGAACCAATATTCTAAGATAAAATAAAAGCTTTCATTATCTTTTTAAAGCAATTTGAAATAAAGTAAAGTGAACTCATATGATTCTATTGATTTTATGTGTTTCAAATTCAAGACGAGTTTGGCAACATCAACTAATGTAGAAGTATAATGAAACATATTATCTGGAAGTGATTATAGCGATAGATTCGTATCATGGTTGAACCCTAGACGTAGTTAGAGTTCTGCTTTTACCTCCAGGGATTATTGGTATGATTCCTTTTATTCCAATTATTGAACATCTCTATAAACAAAAGGCCTCTATTAACTGAAGTTCTCTATTGATTGAAGAACTCTACTGAATTAAGATCTCTACCGAGGGAATGCCCCCACTTGAGTGAAGACCTCTATTGACAAAATCTCTACTGACTCAAGGTCTCTATTAATTGAAGTCATCTACTGATTTAAGTTCTCTACTGAATTATTGTCTCTACTGACTTAAGGTCACTACCGGCGGAATGCCTCTACTAATTGAAGGCCTCTATTGACAAAGTCTCTACTGACTGAAGATCTCTATAAAATTAAGGTCTCTACTGACTGATGGCCTCTATTGAATTAGGTTCTCCACTGCTTAAAGATCTCTACTGAATGACGGTTTCTACTTACTGAAGGACGCTACGGAAAGTCACTATCACATTAGGGTCTCTACTGACTGAAGCCCTCTGTTGAATTGAATGAAGGTTTCTGCTGAGTGAAGGCCTATATTGACTGAACATCTCTTTTGACTGAAGGTCTCCGCTGACTGAAGAACTATTGAATAAAGGTCTCTACTGAGTAAAGGACTCTATTGAATGAAGATTTGTTACTGAAAATCTCTACTGACTGAAAGTATCTATTGCATGTAGGTCTCTAATAACCGAAGGTATTTTTTGAGTGAAGTTCTCTACCTATTGAAAGTATCTTGTGATTGAACTTCAATACAGAATCAATGTCTCTACACACTGAAGGGTTCTATGAAATAAAGATCTCTATTAACGGTAGGTCACTACTGATAGAAGACTTCTACTAACTGGAGGTCTTTATTAATTGAAGGTTTCTACTGCCTGAAGTTCTGTACTAAATGAAGGTCTCTTCTTACTGAAGGACGATACTGAATGAATGTCTTTACTGCATGAAGACCACTACTGACTGATGCCCTCTATTGAAATGAATGAAGGTTTCTACTGAATGAAGGCTTATAATGACTGAATATCTCTTTTCTCTGAAGGTCACTACAGACTGAATGTCTGTATTGACTGACGAACTGTATTGACAAAGTCTCTACTGACTGAAAGTCACTACTGAGTGAATGTCTGTATTGACTGACGAACTGTATTGACAAAGTCTCTACTGACTGAAAGTCACTACTGAGTGAATGTCTGTATTGACTGACGAATTGTATTGACAAAGTCTCTACTGACTGAAAGTCACTACAGAGTGAATGTCTGTATTGACTGACGACGTATATTGACAAAGTCTCTAATAACTGAATGTCTCTACTCAAAAAATGCCTCTACTCTCCAAATGGCGTTTCTTTTATGGTCAATCAACTGACAAACAGGTTACACTGAAATTAAAGAAAAATACCCCTCCGTCTTTTTTTCTGATTGTTTTGTATTTTATGTGTTTGTGTGTTTTTTGTTTTCTACATGCACTTATCGCATTCAGGTGAGTTTCTCCTCGGCCATACTGTTATAAATGGGAAAAATTTTACTTGTAAATTTGGCGCGGCCTAATCTTCATTTGATATCGATAAAGTGTCATACTATATCGGCCTAAGCTTCGTGTTTCAGAATCAGATAAACAAACCAATTATTTCCTTATTTCAACAAAACTCGTTTTGCATCCCCAGACATCATTCGATTTAATTTCATTTTCAGGTTTCTAATGTTTATAAATGTGAATTAAACGAATTTTGATCTCAAAGCCCGTGTAAGAAAGATGCTCTTTCCCTCTTTCTCTCTTTCTTTTTCTCTCTCACACAGAGACATTCACACATGCGCACACGAGCGTTTTCTCTCCCTGTATCAATCAACCAGTATATTGACCTCTTTTTTCTCTCCCCCTATCACTTGCTCTCTCTATCACTTTCTTTCGATCTTTCTCTCTATATGTTTTATCTCCATCTCTCTCTCTTTCTAGCTCTTTCTATCTCTCTTTACACTTTCTTTATCCCTATCCTCTCTCTATTTCTCTATCATTCCTACATTTCTGTTTCTTATCTATCTATCTATCTATCTATCTATCTATCTATCTATCTATGCCTATTTCTTTCTTTTTATATATCTACCTATCCCTTTTTTCAATCTCTTCCATCCTCTCTCTCTCTCTCCCTCTCTCTCGCTCTCTCTCTCTCTCTCTAGCTTTTCCCTATCACTCCTTACGGTTATAACCGGTTGAAAAACACCGATTTTGTTCGAACACCGAAGTTAAGCCCTACTGAGCCCGGTCAGAAATTACAATGGGTAACCACATGGAAACACTACTTGGCAATGTAAACAACCTTCCAAAATCCGAAATATTTTTCGGCTTTAAATAACCTACAATGGCTTAATAAGTCGTAAAATGTCTCCGTATTACCTTTTCTCTCGTTTTTTTTTCTCTCTCTCTCTCCGTTATCTATCTATCGATTTATCTATCTATGCCTATTTCTTTCTTTTTATATATCTACCTATTCCTTCTTTTCCCTCTCTTCCTTTCTCTTTTTCTTCCTCTCTTTCTCTCTCTCTTTCTCTTTCTATCACCATTTTCTCTCTTTTTTTCTCTCTCTCTCCGTTATCTATCTATCTATCTATCTATCTATCGATTTATCTATCTCGTGATTCTACGATGTACACATTACCAGAACACTCTCTAAACGTTTCCTACTTTCAATGTCTGAGGCTAAAAACTCGTAAGCACTTAGATAAATTGTTTTTTAAGTGCCTTCCATGTGTATCACTAACTTAAATAAAGGTAAACCGCCATCGGAAATGTTTCTAGCACACGAAACGTTAACAAGACCTGCTATCTATCTGATTCAACGACTCCGATCAAAATCTACCGACCTGTCTCCGCTCAAACAAACGTAAAGTGATCGTGACTCACCCTCAGGGCAGACGACGCACACAAAACGATCAGGACAAGTACTTTCGTACTGATTTCGATAGAAGTTTTATTTTTAAAAAGAAATCGATACGGCGCTTAATCTGATTAAGCAAATGTCTTTAATTGATTTAAAACTAGCAGAATTGAGCGTGACCCAATACAGTTGATTCTAGCGTATGCAAACTGAGGATGACATTGCAAAATATGCAGGAATCTTTTAGTGAAATCATGGAATGATAACGAAGAATTAATGAAAGAAAAATTATGGTAAAAATGGCATTTTTTAAAACTAAAAAGAATCTCTAAGTGTTAATAATACGTGGATATGCTCAGTAATCATATAAAAAATTGATATTTATTATTGATATATATTTTTAATTGGTATCACCCCACGCAAGCAGTAATGCCACTAAAACACAAGGGGTAACAGGATGTGGAAGAATTAGGAACAGATACAATAATGATGAGCAAAAAAGGAAGAGAGTAATCAGGAAGTGAGTAGATAGCGATTGACATTGTATTTAAATTTTTGCAGTAAGAAGTATGGAAAGCATAAATACGGAAATGAGCTTCACAAGCGAGAAGTGCGAGAAAAGAAACTTAGAATTTACGGCGATATTTAGCCAAGCTCAAGTGTAAATTAATGGGATCCGTGCTTGAATTTAAAAAAAAAAGGCTAAGTACCATAGCGAAGAGCTGACCAGGACAATTATCATGTAAGTATTTACAAAAAAGACAGGGTGAGGCAGCCTTACACCAGTGGGAAAGTGACTGAAGCCCACACACCAGATCAGGGCCAATACATAGAGCACTATTTTATTAGCAACAGCACTCCACCGCAATATTTTATATTCACACACACACACACACATATATATATATATATATATATGAGTTGTGATCAAATATAGATCAAAGTCCGACAGAATAAAATAAAGAACAAACAGGAAATGTTTATTAACTTAACATATTTTCACATTTATTAACATTTTAACATTTTAACTCTGCTGAAGCTTTAATGAAAGTGAAACATGTTAGATTGATAAACGTTTCCTAATTGTTCTTTATCTTAACGAAAGATGTTTTTTGAATATCTGCTATTGTTGACGGGTGTGTAAGATCGTGGAACGCGCAAAGACATCTTTCGGTCGACATACAGATATATCGTCTCAAGTTTTTGATTTTATAAGATAAACAACACATGCCTGATGATGGATGGAAGGCCGTCCGTAAGTACTAGCATTTTAACATCAAATAAACTGAAAAACTACAGACAACAAGTTTTTCTTCAAGGATCAAAACTCGCACTCTGGATGAACAGGATTTTAATGCATATATTATGTTTTCTAGCGATGGATGTCGCCAATAATCGCATTAATACTTCTGATTAATTCTATGTGTGATTATTCTTTCATATATATATATATATATATATATATATATATATATATATATATATATATATTAATCTTTCTCTCTCTCTCTCTGTCTCTCTCTCTCTATCTCTCTCTCTCTATATATATATATATATATATATATATATATATATATATCAGACCTGACGATCGCAAAAGCGTGAAACCCAGGGTCACAAACTCACATCTATCCAACCAAATATGTTAGCTCTATCTCTGATATGGAGCGCTTTCTAATAAGTACTGCACATATAATATATAAATAATAATATATATAATTAATATATATATATTTAATGAAACGTATATATATATATATATATATATATATATATATATATATATATATATATATATACACATTTTCACACACACACACACACACATATATATATATTTATATATTTATACATACATATATATATATATATATATATGTATGTGTGTGTGTGATAAGATAGAACAGGATAAAGAACAGGAAGGAAACAGATATTAATCAAACATGTTTCACTTTATCAACTTCTGTTGGAACTTTAATGACAGTGAGACATGTGAGAGTGATAAACGTTTCGTAATTTTCTTTAAATTAATGCGGATATATATATATATATATATATATATATATATATATATATATGATAGTGTATATAAAGAACAAGACAATCTAACATGTTTCACTTGAATAAAGATTCTTAAGAGATCAAGATAGAAATGATAAAAAACTGATAGGCAGCAAAGAGAGGCAGATTAATGGTATGTTGTTTTTGTTTATTTCTTATTGTTTAGATACGTGTCACGTGTAATGAAGTAACTGATGATATTCAAATTACGTATGAGAAAGATTCCGGAGGCTAAAGTGTGTAAAAGTTAGTGAAACGCAATAGGATGTTTTGGTTGATTATTTCTTTTTGGTTCGATACGTGTCACGTGAAATGAAGTAATAGATAATATCAAATTATGCGTGAGAAACATCTTGGATGCTAATGTGTGTAAAAGTGAGACGCAGCAGGATGTTTTAAAAAATTTTCTTTAGTCTGTTTTTTGTTTTTATTATTAAAGGATATTTGGTATATATATATCTTTATAAAAGGATATATATATATATATGTATGTATATATATATATATATATATATATATATTAATTCTTATCTACTAGGAAGAGATAAGTAAGATTCAAGAATAAGGTATCAGTAGAAAAATGGTGACATGATGTAGATTTTAAACGTGTGATTAAAGTTGGTGGTATTGCTATAAATGTTTCCATAATAAAAGAAAATTCTTTTGTAACTAGAGATGTGACCTGATGGACCAGGAAAAGTAAAAAAGGTTGTTTCTTTCTTAATTATTTAATTAATTTATACACACACACACGCGCATATATATATATATATATATATATATATATATATATATATATTATTTATTTAAAAAATTTGATTCTAACACGCTACATAAGAGTTCTCATGTTTCAAAACAAGAGCCGAAAACTTCAATATAATTATTTGAATTCAATTGAATTAAAGTACTAAGCTGTGTTCCATCTTCAAGCGAATTTTTTGAATAACTTATTTATAACTTATATATATATATATATATATATATATATATATATATATATATATATGCAATCTCATACCTCTAGCACGAGTCTGAGTTTCATACACGACGCAATTTTCGGATGCAGAATTCAAATGACTGTTTTGAATCAAAATATATGACTATGAAAATGCTGCTGTGGTGATAATTAATGTTATAGGTTTGTAATAATGAATCTTAAAATTGTAAAATTAACAAAAATAAGCGAGAGAAAAAAAAGAAAAGAAGAAAATTACAAGTATGAAAATAAAATTCATAATATGATAAAATGTAAAATTTAACGTATATATATATATATATATATATATATATATATATATATATATATATATATATATATATGAGTAATGCCTTTAAACGTAGTTTTCTTTCGCTGCCTTTTTAATAAACATTGCTCAGTTTTATCCTAATGTAAACAGAGCAATTTGTAAAAAAAAGATGGATTGTTTTATTTATATATATGTTATAATAAAATCTGCTAAAGAGTGTTTCCAATTCCACGAAACTCAGACAAGGACATAAGATAAGTGCAGGGTTAGCTATAAGAAGGAAGATTGCATGGTTGCCAGCGAAAGAAAGAGCACAAGATATGAGTGGCGTCAAAATCAAACAGGTACTGATCAAATACTTTGGATTTTAAAAAAATAGATTGCAGTAGAGATTATTCTCGAGGGAATAGACATATCCGTCTACAGAAAGATGCCAAGGATATCATGGACCGAACGTGTGAGCAACGATGAAGTCTTAGAGAGGTTCCAAACAAGGAGGAGGTTTATACTTAATATCAGGAAGAGGCAGATGAAGGTTCTGGGACACATAATGAGGAAGTTGGGCCTGGAGAATCTGATACTCATGGATTAGAGGGAAAGAGAGAGACAAGGGAAAACAACACGTGACATACCTGGCGGACTTAAGCAAGCGGATTACAGAACGTGTTCTGGGAGAGAAAGCAGAGGGAAGGAAATTGTTGAGAGCTGCAAGGGGATAGAGGGAGGTGGAGAGCCATGAACGTCTACGTCCTGGTACATAAAGAGGAGAAAGAAATAGAAAACAACCGAGACATCGCTATCCCAACCTATTCAGGAAATTTTCTTCGACCTCATAATTTTGAAGAAGGCCGGAACGTACAACGGTCGAAACGTTATGAATATAGCAATGAAGATGAGGATAATCGTCCGAATAATTTAAATAATGCAACTTATCATAATACCTCGTCTTAGACATATTAACAAAGAAACAATTCTCTAATTCACCATTGTAAAG